TGGCTTCCTTTGATGAGAGAGCTAGAGCTTCCCAAGGACCATTTCTTTCTTACCAGATCTCTTGACAGTCTGTACTGGTTTCAACCTCATGTATGGGTGCAGTGCAGAAAAATAGAGACTACGCCAATTGTAGCATGACATTTCCTGTAACATACAGTATGGTTGAAAAGTCTGTATATGTCCTTGTCTGTGTTCTTGTGATAACCTAATTTAATGGTGTGTGCTGAAAGTAGATTTTTCCGTCCATCAGAATTTTACAGTAGCACCAGAATAGAGGAATTATATAGTATATAGAATGTGGTTACTGTTATGATGATTATAAACAGTAATGTGTTCTGCTTTAAAGTGTAATTATGATTTGATACTTCTGAATCTTTTCTTCTGGAATACTGCCTCTTCATATTCAGAGATAAACTTGGTCTTCTCATTCTCATACATATATTTAGACCTGCCAGGTTCTTCAGTTTAGGGAAAAAATTGTAATGCCACAGATTTACCTTTCTATTACTGAAATTAAAAATAAGAAAACTGAATAAATACTATTCCAACTGGAATTTATCAAGATTATATTAACTTGCAATTTTAAAGTAATTATGTTTATAATGTAAATCTAGATACATTCCACCATTCCAAAACTGTCAAATTTGACCATTGTATAACTAAATGCACATAAAACAATTACTATTATAATGTTGTTATTAGTATTTCTCTTGGCTAAAAGTTGCTTCTTGCTTGTCTAATTCTACAGATGTATCACTTTAAAATACGCCACGTGTAAACCAATCCTTGTCTTCAGAAATGAAGCGCACTCTTGGCTTAATTATTCAAAGAAATTCCTGTGTGCTTAAAATTTACGGCTGTATATAAGGAGGGTGGAGTGGGTTGTGGAATGTTTGCGAAGGAGTTTTTAACATTAAAAACTTATGGCACAAGTTTAGTGCATTTCACTAAGAATTACAAGCTGTGAGCACTAGGATTTATTATTTGTAAAGAATTCTCAGTGGTCCTTGTGTTAAATATTCAAGTGCTGTGGTGATGATTAATAGGAAGAGTGAGAAATAGATCTGCCTTGATACCTTTCTCTATGCTAGTCTTCCCAGTTGCAGCCACAACCCCAATTTTTTTTAAACCAGTTGCAGTCATTCTGTACTGCTCTTTTTCTTTTTGGTTAACCACAGGAAAGAGGATTTATTTTTAGAGTGTTTTCAGTTCTGTCCTTAGCTGATTATAGCAATTAAAGTTAGACCTAATAAAAAGTTGGTTTATACTGATCTGTCTCTGTTCCAAGAGAATGCTGGTAGTAGTGGAGTTTCTGTGCAGAAATGTTTTGATAAAGGCTGGGAAAAAGTTAAATTTCTCTTAAACACCTAATTGGCTGTTTTTATCTGTGATAGATTTAAGAAAGTCATCCTATTTTTCACAGGTGGCGACAAAGTGATAGATGTAATAGATGTAGCAAGACAAGCAGACAGTAAAATGAAGCTCCATAATTATATTAAATATTTCACAAATCCTGACCGACCAAAAGTATTGAATGTGATCAGCCTGGAATTCTCGGACACAAAGTGAGTATTGACTTCAATTCCTTGAATGTAGGAAGTGGTTTTCACAAAGTTGAACAGTATGTGTAAGAACATAATGTCTGTAGTGGGAAAGATAGGAGGCTGTGTATTTTATGTAGACAGCTACTGTGATGTAATGTGGGTGTAAAACATTTTTATTAATGCATAAGTAATAACTTTGCAGGAAACAAAAATTTAAAGCTGTCATTTAAAAAGAGGTGTGCTTACTCTTGATTATATTTATGTTTCTTTGTTTGTTTTAAAAGGATGTCTGAATTAGTGGAAGTACCAGATATTGCCAGAAAGCTTTCATGGGTGGAAAATTATTGGCCAGATGATTCTGTCTTCCCTAAGCCTTTTGTTCAGAAGTATTGCTTGATGGGTGTCCAGGACAGCTATACTGATTTTCATATCGATTTTGGAGGAACATCAGTTTGGTACCATGTTCTCTGGGTATGAAGGCTTCTTGATTTACGACTGTGTGAAACAAAATTTATTCAGTGTGCAGCTTTCTGCCATGGCATTATCACCTAATAATTAGAATTATTACCTGTATGAAATTTTGTGCTTAAAAGCCAGGGGAGGAGATTGAAAGTGAATTACTGATTGTTGGTGTTGCATTTTTATGCTTTTATTTTAGCATGCTATTGGTGACTTCTAGACTATAATTGGTTGACTGATCATTTTAGTAGACTGGTAGGTGATACAGTGAGGTTTTAGTATGAAAAAATGGAAGTCATTGACATATTCAACTTTTTATTCTTCTTGCAAACTTTGACCATGTGTACATCATAGAAGAGACAAAATGGTTTCATCTTATGTTTTCTCATTTGGCATGTGTGCACATATCCGTAAATTGTTTATAAAAGCTGAAATTTTTTAATACTCCATTGAAAAGTTTTGTTTGGTTTATTTGCTTCTTTGACGTCGCAAGACACCAACTGGTTGGTATACTATTGACTAAGCTTTTGTTGGATTACAGCTGTGAAACATGGGGGCTGGGAAGCCCCAAAGTTCCATAGTGGAAATACGGAATGCTTGCCATTTAGTTCAATCTGTTACTTTATTAGGAATGACTCAGAGGTTGTAGTACCCTTCCAGGAGGACATTTGTTTATTTATTTGATATTTTTGTTTAATAGGGTGAGAAGATATTCTATTTGATCAAGCCCACTGATGAAAATTTGGCTCTGTATGAGTCTTGGAGTTCATCTGTCACGCAGAGTGAAGTATATTTTGGGGACAAGGTTGACAAATGCTACAAATGTGTTGTGAAGCAAGGACACACTTTATTTGTTCCAACAGGTAAGATTTTACCCTTATTACTACGACTTAGAATGTTTAATCATCCGGGATGGGATTGTGTTATCAGCATTTGGTTTCTCCTAAAATTTGGGGTAAGAAAGAATAATAAAAATTCAGAAATCTAGTTTTTCAAAACAAGTTACTAGCTTTTTTAGATTGCCTGACAGTAATAACAGTTATCAGGGAAGGAAAGGGTGTTTGTTACCCAATTATAAGATAAGAAATTAAAGCTTAATTTGGATATTGGGGAAATAGTCCCAATTCATAGAACACACACTGTAAGTTGTTTTGTGGTTTTTTTTCCCCCATTTTTTGTTTTGTGTCCGCAGGAAATCTAAACTGTGGTGGAGCCTGTGGTGAATCTCTGAATCAAAATGGAAGTGTCCCTAAATAAAATTGAAGAATATATAATTGAATTCACGTGTTAATTCCTTTTATTAAACATAAAAGGTGTAGATGTAGTTCATGGAGCTGTAGAGTTCATAAATCCATGTCAGCAGCTTCCTTTAAAAATGATGCAGACGTGGTCTTTTCTAATTTTCTTTAACAACGTTTCTTGTAGCTGTCGCCTAATACCATCTGATAAATTACAGTACATTTTTAAGAAACAGAAATACCAAGACAATTAATTTCTTTATCTATTTAAAAAAACCCAGAAAAGTCCTCCAAACAAAAAGCACCACCCCAAACTCCCAAATACAATAAACTTAGAAGTTTTTAATAAATCTAACTATATTTTTCCAGTAACGTGAGTGCCAGTTAATTGCTTGTATTTTCACTTAAATAGCCCATCCATATAAATACTTTTTTTAATTGTATTATTAAAGATTTTTAGTGGGTACTATCTTCCCTTGTTTGGGGGAGGAAGCTTTAAATACACAGAAGAAGAAAATGGTGCACGACTTTACTTCTGGAATTAGCCTTGAAGATTATGTTCAGTACCTTACTCTGTCATGGACTTCCTAGACAGACTACTACATTTTTCTCATAGCTCAGTTCTCTATCTGTGAGGTTTAGTGTTTACTGTTCTAGTTCGTGGCTTGTGCAGAATAAATACTACATGATAAGGAGCTATATACGCACTTAAAATTTCTGAACACCCAGAGTTTTTTAAAGCCATATATTTTTATCAAGGGATAACATTCAATTTCCATTTATTGAAGTGTAGCGTCATATGTCTGTGAACAAAGAACACAGAATTATAGAATGAAGAACTTTATTGTGACCCACAGATCTTTGAAAACAGTTACTGCTTCCCAAGTAGTCAGCTAAATCCGAGCTCTTGCTATAATGTGGCCAAAAAGAAAAGTATCATAAAGTGATACTTTGTACATGTGTGTATATACACATAAAATGGTACTTTTTAATGTAAATGTGTGTATACACATACGTGTGTATGTGTGTACGCACATACATGTCCATATGCATATGATGGAGTATAGTATAAGAACCAATAAATTAAACTAGGTTTCAAGACAGGTGTTTAAAAAATGGGAAATTCTGTAAGACTCATTAAAGAAAGGCTTTAAAAAAACCTGGTATCTACTGAAAACCATTTTGCTGTTCCTGCTTGCACTGGTGCTAGCGGATGTCATAATTATTTTACAATCTCTCAAATATGTTCGGAGTAGACTTCTGATTTAAAATTAATCTTGCGTGTAGATGAATAGCACCTACTGGGAAGCTCTTGAGAGTTGTTTAAATATTATTCAATATATTCTGTGTGGTCTACACCAAATTTTCTTGCCTTGTTACATAGACCTTGATCAAAACCTCAGCATAAAAATAGCAAGTAGGATTGTAAAAAAAAAAAAAAAAAAAAAAAAAGATTCCTTTTGTTGATACAGGTGTGCCATAAAAATCCTTGGTGTTGATGCAACAGTGAGGAGGCTTTGTTGTCAGTTTTGTCAGTCTCTGGGGAGATGTGTGTTTAAAGGATTGAAATACACATATTCCTTGGAGAGTCAGAGGTATTTATCTACTGTGATGAAGATGATAAGAGTGAAAAATTGAAACCATATTAACAAATGCAAAAGGCAGCTGGTAATAGAAGGCAATCTTCATTGCACTGCACTTCTCGAAGAACAGAAGTAAAACTGAACAATGTATAATGTTAATTAAAAAAACCCCTTAGGTTGCATGTGCCGTTGCATTCTACATTCTCTCATATACCATTCTGTAACTTATTTCCTTCCCAGGCTACATAGTAGGCATGTTGCTTATTCAGCTTTGTTGCTAGGTTTCAGTTCTTTTTACATGTGGTACCACAACAACTAGAACTGGTTGTTCTTAACTGAATTAGGGCATTGATTTAGTGGTAGCTTGCAATATATAGTTGCTTGTGATTTGGTCTGATCTTGGCTCAAGTTGGGGAACTTCCCTGTGTTTGTACATCTTGCCTATGCTCAGTCAAACCATGAAGTAATCTGCAAATGTGTGGCCAACTCATCTTTTGTCAAAAGATCACCCATATGCATGCAAAATCAGAAAAAAAACGCCACCTTGAAAGAAGAAACTCTATTTGTAGTTTATTTACATTAAGGCTGTACTATGTAAATTTTAAAGGTAACTGGTTTTAATCAGGAAGCTAATAAATGTTATTTTGTGTACTTACTTGAAATTATCCAGTGGTAATCAGCTAGATTGGTAGCATAATATTGGCCATGCTTTGCCATGTTGAATAGCGGAGTTCACAAGGACAATATTTCAATTATGTGACAACTTTAGAGTGCCTAGACTGGGTTTTAAGCTGAACCTAATTTCACTGGAGTTAGGATGACTGTATTTAGAATAATTAATGGAACTATGTCTGAATTCTTATTTGAGAAACTTCAGTATTGCTAAATGACTTTTAAATGTTGTACCAACAGCTCCATTACTGTAAGCCATATGTAAATATTGAAAGTAATTTAATTCTGTTTTATTTTTATGACTTTATCTTTTGTTCAGTATGTTTTTGCTCTCCTAACTTGCTTATTTTTGTTGATGGGAGGGAAAACTTTGAGGAATTGTTACTTGAAAAATCACTGGCAGTCTTGCATTTCCTGCCTATGTTCCCCCACCAGTAAAAAAGTCTTAATCTTAACTCCTTCAGAAAACCACAGTTCTACTAGATTCCTGAAACACTGCAATTTACATGTTGTTAAAATTTAGATTACTTGTTCCCAGCACAGAATACAAATCTATTTGCTTTTTTGTTTCCAGTTACAGCATTTTCCTTATATATGTATTTAAAAACAGTCTTAGAATAATTTATATGTATGTATTAAGTTTCAGAATCTGTCATTTCAGGCTGGATTCACGCTGTGCTCACATCTCAGGATTGTATGGCTTTTGGAGGAAACTTTTTGCACAACCTCAATATTGGCATGCAGCTCAGGTTAGTCGTGGCTCTTCCTATACCTTTTCCTCATTTAGTAGGATATTCTTTTTATAGATACTTCTCTTCATGCTTTTAACCAGGATCAAATTGTTACAGGCTCTCAAACAGACAATAGTGGCATTTTCAGTTAGACTGTATCAAGCACATACTCTTATTTCACTTCTGCAAAGTTTGTTTCAAAAGCAAAATGAAGTGTATCCGAGAATTTAAGTGAATAAAAGGGGAAAAAAAAGAAAGAAAAACTCTACTTTGAAGATTAGTGTAAATGAGTGAAACAAAACTGAGCAAGCCCAGGTGTGCGACACTGAGTTGAAATGAGCATCCTCAAGTCAGCATTGCTCTAAGGGCAGCTGTATATAGTTTTTGTCCAAGATGTGGAGCTGTCTTCTAAACATATTGTTTTTATTTATTACAGTGGAATCCTGATAAAATTCCATCTGTTAAAAGATCACACATTGGGTTTGTATCCTAGTTTTATGAAGTCCAACTTTATTCTTAGAAGTGCCGCAGTCAAACTTGATAAGGTCAGAGCCTGGATGAGACCAGAGTTCAATCTTGTCTGTGGTCTTGTTGGGATTTAACTATGTGGTTCTTGACTTCTTTTATTTATCATGGCCATGGTTATTTTATTTTATTTTGGACATTGTGTCAATTTGAATGATTACATAGTTGAATAGTGAGTTTGATAATTAAAATATTAATGTTTTGTGATGTTTCTATTTATTCAGGTGTTATGAAATGGAGAAGAGGCTAAAAACCCCAGATCTTTTCAAATTTCCTTTCTTTGAAGCCATCTGTTGGTTTGTGGCCAAAAACTTACTGGAAACATTGAAAGGTAATCCTTGTTCTGTTTTTAAGAGAGAGACATATATCTGCACTTATTTTTTTTCTCCTCTCCTTCATTGGTAATGGAGAAAATTATACTGCTGTTGTGTGAACAGAGGAAACTTTTTAAGCTGGAAAATCAGACTTGAATTCCTGCACTGTGACAGTTCTAGATTCAGCAGTTCTTGGTTTTAGTAAACGATCTTTCTGAAAACTGCTTTGGTAATTAAAGTGTTCTAGGATAATTTGTGCTGTGCAGAAATCTTAGTGCACTTGGTGATGTGTATAACTAACACTTTGTAGCAAGCTGCTGGAACCTTTGAACTATTGTATTAGTGTTTTTCATCCAGTGCTGATCATCATCTGGTCAATGAAAATATTCTAGATGATCAAGACCAGGGTATCTGAGATCCTGTCATGGTACAACTATACTACCAGCCAAACACGATTAATTTGCCATTATCTGAAATGATCTTGTTAAGGAAGATAGGAAACTTATTTCAGTGGCATCAGTTTTTCACTCAGGCTTGTTCTATATCATTTAAGATCTTCGAGTACCCTTTGACAGCCTTTCTCTCTCTCTTTCAGCAAATGACTCTAAATCATGCCACTAAATTGTATCTGTGGGTTTCTTCTTGGTGGCTTCACAGCTGAATGAAGAGGCTTTCTTGCATTTCTACAATTTTCTTTGACCTTTTCAATCAAAATACTTGTTGTCTTCTGCCCTTTGTTCTGAAGGGAAAGGTGTGTGGGAGGGCTTTTGTAGGAAAGATGCATCAGTTCCTATGAGCTGTGTTAAATCCTTTATATCTGTGCTTACCAACAGAAATCTCAACAGTTTCTTGTTCTTGACAGTCGCCGGTCCTTTCCAGACTTCCTCATCTAGGCCTGTAATTCCTATATCTGTACCCATGTGTAACTGAGCTTGAAAGAGTGCCTGTCTGATTTCACCTTCTTTTCCTCAAGTATTTTGCCTTCTGCCTGCTCTATTTAATCTTAATAATAAATGTCATATCCCAAATGATGTATTTCAAAGGAGAGAAATCAACCTTCAAAGGGGGCTGCTGAATTCACCTTCTGCTTTGGAAGAGATCAGAATCTCATGTAACCTTTTTCTAATATGAAAACAGTCACAATTATTGAAAATTACCTATTCTCCTTTCAGCAAATGAAGGCATTGAACAACCATTGTTTCCTAAATGAGCATTTAAAGTTTCTGGATGAACCTAAAGCAACTCAGAAATCTTACCAAATAGAACAACTTGACGAAAATTTTTCCTTCTAAAAAAGGAGTATTTTCTTCTTGAAAGCTTGCTTTGGTTCGTCTCATACCTGCATATTTAAAATTTATATACTCATCAGAAGAC